GCATATTTCACTCAAAGAATCTGAATGAAATTGCATAACAAAATATAAGCACATTTTCAGATAGTATTTGCAATTTTTCAAACTGTGAGAGCAGATAAATTAACTAGGAACTGTCTCCATTGTCCTCCATCCAAACAACTCATTCCATGTGACAACCAGCTGAAAACTAGGAACTGACTCACCTCCTTAGAAAGTACTGGAAATGTCGAAATGACTTCTAAGTGACTTCAGGAAGAAGACTCACACTGGTTCAAGTTCATAGCTGAAAAAAAATATGAAAAGAGGTTTCAAGATTGCATGTTTGTATTGTTAGCAGCTAATTTTGAATTTCCTGGTCTACTTGTAATCTACTGGTCTACATGAAATCTAATGTAGCAGCACTGCAGAAAAACCTTTGCTACATATTTGTCAAAATTATCTGCAACTTGGCGGTATTCTTCATACACTGTTCTGAAGAATGCAAGTAAGAAGCTCACTGAAATATTTGGCAGTAGAGCAAAGTAGACAAATATGCACGCTGTTAAAAAGGAACTGTTCATATTTTTGTATTCATATATTTGCTAAAAATATTTAATGACACACCTCCTAAAGTGCATGATGTGTCTACAGCTCCAAATACAGCCATATGTGGAGTTGAACTCAGTGATCCTTATGGGTCCCTTCCAATTCTAGATATTCTATGATACAAAGTATAAACTTGAAAATCAGTTAAGCTTCACCTTGGAACAATAAGTATTTAACTTTACATGTTACTTGCAGATGGAATGTTCCAGCAAAAACAAGGGAACTCATGGGTCCTCACTGGCACCAGCCACTGTGGCATGCGCCTCTGTGTCACAGGTAAAGGCACAGTTGCACAATTTTCCTTGTCCAAACATGGACTATGAACATCCTTAACTAGGAAGGTATTTTATAACATTTTGTGAGACAAGCCAAATGCTGTATTCTGAAAGGAATAACTAGCAGGAGTCAAAGTTAAATTGCTTGGGAGTAGTGTGACTGAAAAGGAAAACTGTAACTATGTGAGTAAGGTTAATTTCCACTTTCACAGGCTAAGTAGACTATGACCTGATTAGTTCCCAGTCTCAGGAGGCTGCTCATGTCTCTATGCCTTCAGCATCTGTTGTCAGCATCTTACTCTCCATGATTTTAGCTGACACACTTTTCATCCTTCTCTTTTGAAACATCACTTAAGGATTAAAAACTGTGTTTATCTAATGTAAAAAAGTGACTTTCACACTTAGACCCACTAATATTAAATGGAAATTAAAATCTTCTAATTTATTCTTTCACATTACTAATCAGTAGAAAAATAGGATCCTATTCTTGAGTGTTTGATTCCCTACAACACAGATGTACAGTCTACAAGAAAAAGGAAAACGTGGGACAAGCCTTCCTCTCCCAGGGAGACAGGCAGAACTTGACCAGATATGTATGGGCACCTGTCCTGTTAGGTGTGCTCTGGGGGCTGTGAAACACAGGCACAAGTTGCCCAGAGAGGTGGTTGGATGCACCATCCCTGGACACATTCAAGGTCAACTTGGATAGTGCTCTGAGCAGCCTGGTCTACTTGATCCTGCTCATTGCAATGGGCTTGGACTAGATGGTTTCCATAGGTCTCTTCCAGCCCAAACAATTCTATGATTCTGTGATTTTAAAGGTGCCTTCTAACCTAAATTCTTTTATTATCCTATGATCCAGGTCTTCTGGACATGCGCACAATGTTGTTTTTCCATTATTCAGTCGTAAGAAAAAACCTGAATCAGAATGGACAAGAATATTTACTTTTTTAAATCAATGACTGGATTAGATCTTGCAAGTGTACATGTATATACAGCTACATAAATGCATATTTAGACACACAAATTGTACATATGATTTCTGTAGTTGGTCATGATTTGAGAATATCCAATATGCTCTGACATGGCATATGTCACATCTAGAATAAGGCTAACAAATAGAAGCAAACTTTAATCCTATTTCTAAGGCTAGTATTGTGGAGTTGTCTTTAATTTACTGTGGCAATGAGTAGCTGTTAGTGCAACCAAGAAGAAACATTTCTAGAAACGTTGTGTAACACTACAGACTTTAGAAAAATACGCACAGTTTCTTTTTTTCACGAGGCTCCAAAAAGGAAAGACAGAGTGGATCATTCTTGGTCTAAGAAGGAAAGAGTATCTCTCAATACCCTGTGGGTTGGAGTTGCTTTCCCAATGCTTTCTTTCTTTCATGGACAGGAGAATTTGAAATTGAAGTTTTGTGCTCTTTCTCTTCTCTGGGACTGAAGGAGACATGGAGATGGTCTGCATAATTCAGTGGCCCCACTGTTTCACTCATATAGTTTTAACTTGACATTAAGTGGCTACTTCAGAGCAGAACCTTATTTCAATGCACTGCTCTAAGACAGTCTGTGCTTATAAAATTATGCTCTTTTTTGACTCTCTTTTATTTGTCATTCCAAAGAACAACAGTAAAAATACATAATCCCATCTTCCATTCCAGCTTCATAATGTTGTAGAACACATAGACAACATATATTATAGTGGTAGTTCAGAGCAGTCATATTCCTAAAATACAGTCTCCATCCCTCTTTCATGGAGAAATCTGCCTCCATCTCACCACGTTTTCAGCTCTTCTGCCAAAAGGGTCATATTTTTGAGCAGAGGTTTCTTTCCATTATGTTTTAATTTAATTTGGGGATGGTTCTGTATAGGACTAAAACTATGTCTCAATGATCCTTGTGGGTCTCTTCTAACTTGGCATATTCTGTGAGCCTGTGCAATTCTGTAACTCATAAAACCACTGCAAATCCAGAGACTGCAATGTTTTATCTCAATTATACATTTTGAAATATTTCAGTAAAATTCCCGCATGTACCTCTATGGTGTGATAGCTTTTAAGTCTGGACCAGTCTGCCCTGTGTCCTGGGCAGACACTGGAGTACTCAACCCCACAACATTCATTACTATGCTGGTTCTTAAATGCTTTCAACAGGTGAAGGGAACTGGGAAATCACAGAGAAATATTCTGCAAATTGATGATACCCAACCAGATTCTGGTCTTTGAGGCTTTTGGTCCTTGTCCTGGACTACACTGCAGTTCTGCAGGCAGCAGTGCCAAGTAAGAGACTGAGCTGAGTCCTCCTTTTCCCTTGAACACCATCAGCAGTCAGAGCCAGAATCCTTACTCAGCTCTTGCAGCTGAACTGTGAGCCTCACAGTCTCAGGCTGGGCTGAAAATGGGTGTTTATTGAGAATGTATGAGTATTCCCTTCTGTTGACTCTGCATCCACAACTTTGTTCTTGCAGATTTTTTGCAGGGAGGTAATAGGAGAGAAAGGAAGGATCTCAAGTACTTTCTGTAATTTACTTAATGTAATTTTTTGTAACAGTAGGGGTAATGCTACTGGTTCAGTTGGTTTGGTTGTGTGAATTATGTTAGAGTAAAAATCACATTCTAAAGTTTAAACAATCTAGATTTGAATTGTGAGCTTTGTGATGTTTTAGGATGTTTTGCCTAAACAGCAAACAGAGCTCTCAACTAATTTGTTTTTATTTCAAAATATATCATTTGCCTTTGACTTAATTATTAGTGTAAACTGATGTTTTAAAGGTGTTGGAGTTAGCGCCACAGAGTGTGTGCCCTTATCTTTGATACTTGGCTCTGACATTCAAAAAAGCATTGAATTTCACATAACACCATGGAAACAACTGTTAAATAGAAAAACTAAGAGTGTGAGTGTGTAAGTTAGAGAGTTTTCTTAAATCACTAGGTGAAAAAGTTAGAGTTTAAGGTTTAAGCTCTTTTAAAAAACAAAAGACAAGATGGAGGATTTAGGGTGTTGTCTCTTCTTCCTTCTTGCCTCTTCATCTTCTTCTAAGGGTTTTTGGGTAGTAATAAGTGATTGGATAAAATGTGCCACAGTGTAGCACACAGGTATCAGGTCATTGGGTCACTAAGAAAAATAATTTACTTGGCATTTGTTAATTGGATAAATAGACATATAAAAGACCTTGAAGAAGTTCTTTGTTAGCCATTTTGCGCCTCTCTATCTTAGTGTATATAGCTTCTTGTACTTTGTATATATGTAATATAGATAAAAGAAGAATTAACAGCCAAGTCTAAACAAGAGAAAACTGCCTCTCTTTCATCAATCTTAGTCCAAGGGGAAAAGAACTCAGCCACCAGTGTCACATCCCAACAAAAGGTAATTAACAACCAGTTGCTAATTGGGTGGAAAAACACCCTTCTGATGACAGACTTTGGCCAGAACAGATGTTTACAAAACTTTCTTTCTATTGTATGGAAAGAATGTCAAATGAAGAAGACATTATTAGGTGATTCTTAAAACTGGTCACAACACAGCAAGAGGTGATTTGGATGAGAGGGAAGAGAGAATCCTGACCTGGAAATGTTTATTTATTGTTGCAGTTCTACTTACCTCAGTGATTATATCCATAAATAGATATTATTAGGCAAGTCTTCACATCGAACTCAAGAAGAACATTTCATTGCACTTCCTGTTTAAAACCTTCTTTGAAGGAGAAGGAAAGAGATTAATTTGATAGTAAATCTTTCTTCAAATAATTACATAAGTATAATTTTGTATATAGTTAGGAGGAAACTACAGTGCATATTGCTCATATTCAGAAACTTGAATGTGAGCTAGGCAGCATGAAGAGTGAAACTACAAAACAGAAATAAAATCATGTTGATAAAATAGATGTATAAATTCCCTTTGTCCTGAAGTTTAAAACTAAAATGTATCATGTTCCATTCAGTAAGAATGAATTATCCCTAACCCTATTTTACAGCATTAGGGGATAAGATCACTTGATGAACCATATCACAAATGCATGTCATTTAGTAGTATGCCAAGAAATAGCACATTTATTTTTTTTTTCCCACCAATTGACAGCCACTGAATATGTGATTTATATGTTTTATACAAGTTAGAAAGCTTAAGGAAGAGCTTTGCTGATTTTTTTTTATATGATCTGTCAGTTGATAGCCTCTGTGTGGGAAGTTTCATGTAAGTTCCGATGTAGCTTTGATATCTCCAGGAAAAATGCTGCAAACAATTTGGTTCCTTCAATATAGTTGTGTCTGTGAAGAAGGAAAGAAACACAATGAAGCCTTGTCAGGCTGTGCTTTTCTTAAAATTAGGAACACAGTCCAGTGAAGTTTTTTGAGTCTTTGGAGAAATCTGCAAGATTGGTAACCCCCAAAAATTACCCAGTGCACAGAAATGCTGGACGTCCTTCAATTTCGTACTCCTCTGGATTTACTTCAGAAAACCTTTTTCAAGTTTACATCCCCAAATTGGTATTACCTGTAGCAATAGCATTGTTGAGGCTTTAGTGAGGGGAGACCAAAAGTAATTTGAGAATTATTGTAGGAGTCTCCTCTTTCCAGAGTTCAGCATGAGCTGACTCAGAGCCTCTACAAGTGTTCAGGCAACACACTAAATAGTGGCTTACCATGATGCCTCCAACAATGAACATCAGTGACAAGTTTAAGCTGGTTTTTTTACAATAATGCTAGTTATGGTCCCTGGACTATAAATAAATCTTTATAGCTGTTTATACTGAAAACCACCAAAATCCTTACATAACCATGAGTGTCTGTGACTGGCACAGTTAAAAATAGATGCTGCGACGGTAGAGTGTCCATCCGCACCATTGTCTTTAAGACCAGTGGCAAATTTCATTGCTAGTGAAGTGAAAATTGCCAATGTGATGAATTTAAAGACTGAGTAGACACCCCATGAAAAGTGTATAATGGTATGTGTTAGACTGGGAATTTTACTTTCTGCTTAGCACAGCAGCTAGTGTGCTGGACAAAGTAGGTTTGGGCTGTGCAATGCACAGCAAAGCTTCCCATCTGGGCATGCTCATTCATGGGTACCAAGGGACTTCAGTTCTCCCCCCTTCTCTAATAGCTGAAACAGACAAATGAAAGAAACCTGCTTATTTTCTCATTCTGGGAATGCTCCCCATCATCAGCTGCTCCAATGGGAAGCATCATCACACTTTTCTGTGTTACAGTCTGAAACATTCTGGCAACAGGAATCGTTGAGCCATCACGAATGAAATCTGGATCTTCTCCAAAAACTGAAATACATGGGGAAAATGAATTAATAAATAGGTGTAATTCAGGTGCTATTTTCTCCTATCATGTAATTAAGCAAAGAGATGATGCTAAGACCTGCCGAGTAGAAATGGGTTTGAGTGTATAGCAAATTGATTTCACAAATCAGCTCTGCTCTATAAACCTCTTGTTTTTTATCAATACAAAAATAAGTAAATGAGGCCTTTTGGCTACTCCTATGAAACATATCAAAATTCAGTAAGGTATGGAAGATATTGATGTTCTATCAAAATCAATGAGATTTATAAGGGTAAGAGGCTGCAGCACTGAATTGGGAAGTCTGTTTTGCCCTACTGTTGAGCACAATGCCTCTGCACACTTGCAAACACACTAAGAATCGGAAAAAGAAAAAAAAAGAAAGGAACACACCTGTTTTTATTGCCCATCTTGCTGCTTTATATAGCAGATCATTAACATCTGCAAGCCAGGGCTTTGCACCCAAAGGCATGGACACTTTCAGTTTGTTTGGACTGTTCCTCTTGGAAAAGACACCCTCCAAGTGTTTCACCACCTGTAGGGAAAATACTTTTCAAAAAAAAATACTTTTCATCTTGCAACTCAAGCTTATACCCACATTCCTACTTCTCTTGGAAACAGATAAGTGCTGAAAACATTCAGTTTACTACAAGTCTGGATTTGTGAGGTGCTAAGAAGGGACTTAGTTTACACAGTAGTGGGCAAAAAAAGGATTTGTCTCTTACCTGTTTTTTCACAACTGAAAGGTCCATGTGGGGGACCTGACGGATTGAGAATTTGCCAATTACTTTTGCTGGAATGACTGTTTTAATGCCTTGTTCATGGAAAGCTCCTTCAATCCCGTGAATAGAGAGAGAGGGGTAACGCCACAGGTGTAGAAGTATTTCTTCCTTTAAAAAAAAGTTTTAAAATGTGAGGGATGACACTGAAGCCAGCCACAATTGATATAAACAAGATGTTTCTATCCGAAAATTTCTATCTGGAGACCCCTGTATTTTTAAGATATTTGATTTTTAATTTCAACTCATGCACATGTATTTTCATTTTTAAAAAATACTACTACTTTCAGTCATAGAAAGATTTAAATGGGAACAGTTTTTCATTAAAAATAAGAAAAATAGAACATTGTTTGAAAAATCTTGGAAGTAAATTTTCCTAGTGCAAAGTAGTACCAGAACAGCTTCTGATCTAATTGCCTCTTTATCCCAGAACTTATCACTGGAGAAACCATGCAGCCAGATCCATCCCAGATTATACCAGTGAAGAAATTCTACTAATGAATACTAAATAACACCATAGGAAAGATTATAATTATCAGTAACCAGGTTTTGCTGGAGAAGATTCAGAGGGGAAGCAAAATATTATGATTATTATTCTAAGGAAAATAGGAGAAATACATAAATTATAAACTGGTCTTCATGCAGAACCTCTGGGTGCTGCTGCTTTCCTTCAGTTTTATGAGGCTAGACCTTTATTTACACATAAAATTAACATCAGTTCATCCTCATAGATAAAGTAGCAAAACTCAGATAGTATAGGTGAATTATACTTTTGTATTACTGATTCTTACTTAGATTCTAATCTAGCTTCAGCTAATTTGAAAGCTTTTTCAGGGAAATAAAAGCATCCATGTTAGCAGAGCCTACACCAGAATAGCTGTGTTAGTGATAAAAATTTAATCAACTCCTCTCTCCCAGCTTCTACTCCTGTGCAGAGAGATCTTTCCAAGCCAGCCCTTACCTGCTATTTTTTTATTTAGGATATAATTTTTAATTGCTGGTAAGGAGAGACTTGTAGCTTTGGATGCTTTTTATGGCAAGCTTGGCAGACATCAAAGTCTGTGTTAAATAAAAGCCACCTTACATATCTGCCTAAAGCTTCCTCCCATTTTTTCAAAGCTGAATACAACTTCTTTCCTACTATGTAACCTAAATGTAGGCATTTTAATGCATGTTTTATTTGGCTGATTAGGCTTAGGGGGTAAGAAGGGGTAGGCAAGGAAGGGAGACTTATACTGTTAGTTTTGCATTATTTCTTTTAATTGATTATTGATATTTCAGATCACTTTCCCCAGATGCAGTGCCCTATATTTTCAGCAGACATTTTATTTACCTTTTACTTCTCAGTGCTCCTTTGTTTTATTTTGAGCCTGCCATTGACTGAAAACATCTTTCAGTTTGGCTTTATACATAAGTGCTACAAGTAGGTGATGTAAATTCTTTCTGCTGAGTATTCATACAGATTCTGTTACCTTGGTGCCATAAAGGAATTTTTTCACACCACAGTTTTTTCTATGTTCCTCTAGATCAAATTCAATTGATTCATATAATTTCCTTTCTTCCTCCGTCAGGGCAGCAACACTCTCGTAGATTCCAGGGATCTGAATATGACCTGTGGAATCCACAAGGCTGTCTACAAAATAAGATGTAGATATCAGTATAAGTGAGCCTATTTCTTCCCCTTGGCAATCATAACACCTTCTCCCTTCTACCTAGCTCTTTACCAAATTAGTAAGCCTAACAGCTGTATGCATCTGCCAAGTTGCAACACCTAACTTGATATATTTGCATATTTATTAAGAAAACCATTGAGCTGCTGTTTGTGCATAGTGTGTGATGTGTCAGCCCAGCTGACATGAAAACATCATCCTCCTGGGATACAAATCAGTATTAAAAAGTCATGTTTCACTATGTGTGTATGTATTAAAATTGCCTGTAATCCTTAGATGTGTGTGACTGACATCAGCTTAACATGTCTGAAGTCCTGGCTTTACTGGGGACATTCCCTTCCTCAGCTGCCACCACCAGAGTTGTGTTCAGGTTTGGAAGCCTGGGGTCTTTCTTCAATGAGACTTGCCTTACAACAATTAAACGTGGCCCTGCCCTTCATTAGGCTGCTCCTGGGCAGCGCTCCCCAGCAATGATGTGTGCTCTTACCCAGCAGAGCTATCAGGTCCAGCAGCGGCTCGTGAATGATGCCTCCAAAAGTTCCAGAGTGAAGGTCCTTGCTGCCACATTCAACCTGAACCAAAAGCACTGGTTACATGTAAATACTCGCTACCTTATTCTTCTGTGTTTGTTTTCCACAGTGACTGGTGGCTCCAGTTTTTTTAAACAAGATCACAAATGAACATTATATGTTGGGGTTTTTTTTAATTATTAAATGGAAAATATCATGTCAGGAACAATCTGCTTTGGCAGAGAAGATGGAGCTCTGTTGTCAACCACCAAAGAGAGAAATTCAGCTGTGTGTAGCACTCACACATCTGAGAGCAAGGGTCCTCCTCCACTCCCTCTTTTGCTTCAGTAAGATTAAAGACACCATATATTAAACATTTGCATATTATTAACTGTTTGTAACATTAAAGAATAAATTCTTCGAGTTGTCTACCCTTTTTATTTAATGCAAAATCTTCTTTTAAAAGGCAAAAATTAATCTTGTTTGATATTAAGAATATATGTCCAACCTTAATTCAAGATTGCAACAAATAAAAATTTATAGGTCTCTTGAATAACAAGGCTTTAGAATAGAGGCATTTGAGTTATTAAATGGGTTCTCTTTCCAGACACATTTTCATACTTGGGTTTATCATAAAATATTTTCCTGCAAAGAACTTGTTTATTCTTCTCAAAACCTCATTACAGCTAACTGTCTACTAGCAGGGAGAGATCATTTTTGATGTTTTAATAGCATCATTTTTCTTAACCAAGACTTAGAAGAATTGAATCAAGGCTGCCAAGGCTTTTTCAGTTAAAAAAAATTCATTCTTTTTCAGACATAAAGGTTAATGCAGATTTTTCTTTAGTTCTCAAGTTTTTTAATCTTCTCTCTGAATTCCTTTTATGCTTCATCAGGAAGAATTTCCAGATGAGAAATTTCTCATCTTTATTTCACAGTAGCTCACATTGCCTGCTAAATATAGCACATTGGCTACAGTGAACTTTTATTTGCTTCTGCCAATGGTTACAAAAATTTTGTGTGGCTTTTAAACCCAGAGATCCAGCTAAACTGAGTCCCTTTAGGCTGATTCATTGCACTAAGCAGTATCCGCTGCAAAAGGGCAGAGTAGCAGAAGAGATGTTTTTGGAGAGAGTTGGAGAGGCAGGTGTAGGGACGGTGGTGCACAAGAACAGATTTGATGTGCACAGGGGAGGATGAGAAGAGGCTGGAAGAGTGGCAGGAGAGTAATGGGATAAGAAAGGGATCAAGGGACAAAATGAGTGAAGAAAAGTTAATGGAAGTGAATCATGCTAATTGAACTGAAATGAGGAAGGAAACCTGCAGAAGCCAAAAGGGATGCAGAAGATAGCTCTGTACTTGTGAATATTAAGCTTTCTGCTTCAGTCTTTCTCTGCATGCAGATGTAAGTACAGCTACATCATTGATGTCTGTCAGAGGCTCAGTTCAAGTGAACCTGTGTCCTTCACCTCCACAAAGAAGCAGGCGTTTCCCCGACAGCCATAGGTAAGGGCAGGCTTTTTGTTGCTGAGCCACAGGTTGTCTGAAATTACAATATAATCAACATCAGAGAAGAACCTCTGGTTTTCTTCCTCAAGTAGCTTCTCTAGCCCCAAGGATCCTGCTTCTTCCATGCCTTCAATTACAAACTTGAAGTTCACTGGCATAACCTACATAAAAATTTGAAAAGTCTGAGTAAGAAACAAGCATTTTAATTTTTTTTTTTAAAAAAGAGGCTTTAAAATTAGGAGCAGATTGTTTTGCTGTACAAATTGTGTTAGGATAAGAAAGATGTAGGATGAGTATGTAGGATATATAGCTTGCTTTATTAGAAAAGCTAGTGATAAACACATATAGGTTCCCAGAAAAACTTGTTCTTTTCCTCATGTTTTTATCTACTTTTCATTTTTAAAGGAGAAAAGGTGATGTCTTTTTTTCTTCTTCTTTGTGTTTTCAGAAAATTTGCTGGAATATCTCATTAAATGGGCTTTCTCTCAGTGCTATTCAATATTGTAATTGCTCTGGAAATTCTAACTGTGTAATAGCAATTGCATTTCCACAGAAAATTCCTGCCTCTTATATTTCCACTGTTACTGCCCACGTGGGAGCTACTGGCTGTGGTTTTCCCGACATTGTCTATCACCAGACTTACATGGTGAAAAAAATGTTGTCAGTGACTCTACTATAATTGTCTTTTTAGCACTCATAAATTTGCAAGCCTGTTGGTTGATAAGGACACATTTCCAAGAGTAATTTGGAGAACTTTTATTATGGAATAGTGGGAGTTGAAAATGCTGACACATCCCATAGGGAACATAAATTCCAACTTAGTTTCCTATTACAATTCATTTTCTCATTAGAAGTTTTAAGATGTTTTCTCTTTTGATTCAATACTCAGATTAAAGGCAAGAATGAATGTGTAAAATTAAATGAACCTGCATCAGGGATGGGTTCACTGATGGAGCATCAGCTGGCCACAGAAATTTTAGAAACAAACTGTTAATGAATATTGTTTGATGGTCTGTGCTGTTTTCTAGAGAGAGGTTTCAAATGACTAAAAGTCCTTTTCGCTTGCTTGTTAAAATACCATGATAGTTATTAGTGATTTTAAAAACTAGGAAAATGTCAGACCATAATCATATCCACTTAGAACAACTATTCTTTAGGCAAATGTGTAGTGCTTAAGAGAGACCAAGGTCAATTCAGTACTATAGATGGAAGAAAAACATGTTTTCCAGAAGGTTGTAAGGGGACTTGAAAAAACTCAAGACTTAATGCTCTGTTTGTGCCATAATGTCATACAAGAGACAGAAATCTGTTTCTCAGCACATTAACAGAATATGTCATGCAAATTCACCATAAGGAATGATAGTTAACCCAGTTACATGCCTAAAATATATTTTGGTTTACCTTTATTTTGGGGGTAAAATTACTCCAAAATTATTAAATTATTTGAAGATGACTATGCTGGTCATTGCAGTAATTTAGGCAAATGTCTGACCTCAGAAATTCATCAGACTCTGAGTGATTGCATTTGTACTTGGTGAACACACCCATTCAAAGTATTTGCTTTGATAAATCTAATCTGTTGGTGACATAACAGCCCATTCTGGATGAACATTTTTAGATGCATATTCTTTTCATGCAGACACATAAATTGAAGGTATCTCATAGGCAGACCAGGCAACACCAAAGATTAGCAGAATGTATCACCAGAGATGAGATTTCATGAGTATTCTGTAATGTCTGTTATTTTACCATTTTAAAAGCTCTCAAGAAAACAGGGTATCAGAGTTCTGTAATGTATGTAATACATATTGAATGCTTCCCCGTGGGTTTTCCTCTGCAGGGCAATAGCAGCAAGACTGTATTTACATTGCAGACTATTCAAAACAGAAATGCTCAAAGATAAATTCTTACTGGAGTGGGACCAGTGCCGTAAGTGTCCTTACTCTGATGCCCTTGCATCAGAAGTAGCTAATATTTCAAATTGTATGTAGTCTGTTGGGACAGAGAGGTCTCATCTTACTCAGGAATGTAAATACATCCCTCCAGAGATATAAATAATAACAAATAATAGTAAAGAATAAAAATTAGCAATAATAATAGAGAAGTCCTCATTGATACCTACAAATTTCAAGGCTCTAAATGTTTCCACTGCATTTATCCAAGCTAGGACAGGTCCCTTATTGTCTGTTGCTCCACGCCCATAGAGGTTTCCTTAAAAAGAAAAGAGTAAAGTTTTTAAGCAATCTTTGAATTTTCCCTCATCACTTCAATGTAATTGGCAAATTCCAGTTGCCACAGAAGCTTAAGTGATGGAGAGAAGTGTCAAAAGTGTCAGGATTTCACTGACTCATTTTAAATCAGGTGTTCAATTGCTCCCTAATGGACTGGTACGCTTTTTTCTCCCCTTTCCTTCCTTTTATATGCATCATGTTGTGGTTTTTGCTGAATTTTTAAGTTTCACTTTTTTTCTCAGGAACTGTTTGTTCATACCAGATATTCCTGAAGGGTTTGCACAATACACAGCCTCTAGACACATCATTCAGACCAGGTAACAAGCACCAAAATCCCTACAGATATATGCCATGAAATGCAGAAACACTAAGCTACAAGTCTAAGTATGTAACTCCTTTTCCAGCTGTACATCATGTACAGTTGTGACTGTACATGAAACTGAAATATGCCCCTGTGTATAAACTTCTGTAGTAGTCCCCACTGGATATACCCTGGAAAACGGCAGAAGAATCACACCAGTATGGCTGTTGAGAATTTATCCCAGATAATGAGAAAGGGCAACTCAGTGGTTATAGCCTGGGAATCAGGATTTCTGAGGCCTTACTCATCTGCTGACCCTCTATCCATTGTTTTTGTTCCTTCAGTCAGCTAGCTATGCTGGAAGGATAATTACATTTAGGGGTACTGTACTCACTTCCTTCCGAGCAAATGCTCCTTAGCTCCAGCATGGCAGGTGGAAGTACAAAAGTGGCATTAAGCAAGAGCAGGAGGTGCAAGGGAGGATAATGGTTGATGCAAAAATCCTGTAAGAACTTCTAAGCAGAAGTGGATTCTCTATTGAATACTTTATAAAGCATCTTTAACCTCATATTGCTTTTCCACACCAAATATTAGGCAGTCACTGGTGGGACTCACTAGTTACAGAACAATCATCAAAGCTGAAAGCTGCTGGACACATCCCAAAGATTTCCACAGGAGAAGTCCTCATGTTTTGGTTAAATATACAGGAACTCATCTTCCAATCAGAACCTTGGTCATGTATTCAAATAATGATTCAAAACTTATGAAAAGATGCACACCATCTATTTCAGTCAGTGTGTAGGGGTCAGTGTTCCATCCATCTTCCTTCTTGGCAGGCTGCACATCCACATGACCATAGAAACACACAGTGGGGTTTTGTGGATCCTTCCCCAGCTCCCCAAGAATCACAGAAGGCAGTGGGAGGACTTGGCCATCAGGCAGCTGTGAAGAAAGGTTAAGAAAAGGCATCTAAGGAAACCAAACCTAAAACTTGCAAATGTACAAAAAATCTTAGTTTAGATTTTTAGAATTCTTAGTATTGAAAATATTTCTACACTCAATTGATTTTGATTTGATTAAGTGCATAAATCTGACTGCATCCAGTTTTAAGCTGTTTAGAGAAACTAAGACTTTTCTCCTCAACTGTTTATTTCCTGCTGGATTTTGCAGAGTTCTTCTAACATTTTATTGTCATAAATGCCCTCCTTACCAAGATCTCATGTCTCAGCACTGGAGACAACAGAGGTAACCTTGTGCTATGAAGCCTATTGTGACACTGAATAGTCAAAAGCCACACAAATTAGTTTGAGGTTTGATTTCACCACAGACAGAGAGGGCAGGAGGCCTGTAAGCTCAAATAGAGAAACTAAAAAAAATGTTGCTGGTAGGAGGGAGTAGCTATGTCACACTGTCTTAAAAACAGGTTAAGGCTAATCCTCTAATGTGGCTCTATGCAGAACAGAGCTCCACACGGCCCAATTGCATTCTCTGCAACTATCAAATGACACAACCTGAAATACTAGTGTTGCTATACTGCCAGATCCTTGTGCTAAGAATCAGAATCCTCACCAAAAGCCTCAGAGAAAAGGAAAGAGAATCACTATAATTGAACCTTTAAATTCCTGTTAGAGTAGAAATGTAACAGCCCAAGGCAGAAAAGAGCCCATGGCTACAGTAAGGAAAGTAAATTAGAGACTAAGTTCTCTCAGAGATTAATTCTTCCCTATTGCTTTCCAACAATGAAAGAAAATAGCTTGGATCATTTGTCAGAAGCTCTGAATACTAGTGATGATGCTCTAGGTAGCTAACCTTTTCTGTCTGACAACATTTTCCTTGTTAAAAAAAACCTCCCTCATCAAGAAAGTTCAGTGACAAATGATGCATTAGTTCTCATGGTTGATTACAGACAAAAATTTTAAAATGAGCCCCAGTAAAAAACTCAGTCTTTTTACTTTTGCAAACTGCTTCCTTCCAGTTAAATGCGTCAAACTCCCTTCTATGCAGAGAACATCAATTTGCATTTGGATTGCCTGTGTGGTTCCCAATATGCTCTCAGTTCCCACACCTGATTTCAGCAGGTATCATGCAGGACTATTGATTAATTTGTATCTAGCTTTCAAAAAATAACTCTATGTCATAACATACATGTACATAACACTGAATTCAATAGGTAGACCCATGTATAGATATGATGTTTTAAGTCCAAGAATCAGATAAGCACCTGATGTGACCCCAAGTTCACTAAATTAACAGTGGCTCCCAGTGCTGCAAGTCTGTCTGCTGCCAGAGCCATCATTCGCATTACTTCTTTTCTCAGATGTGGCTGAACAGAATCGCTTTCCACAGCCACCCATTCCTTCAGATCCTGCGCAGGAAGAAATGTGCAATTAGGTGATCCAGAACGTTGTTGTCCTTGGCCCTTGTACCAGAAATCTCACACTGGTAGATGATTTTCTTTCTCTGTCATCACAGCATTATCATATCTAAAGTTTCAGGATAGAGAAGAATCGCTTAGATGTCTCCCCAGGGTTGAGATTCCTGACTTTTTAAACAGGGAGGGTGCTCACACTTAGGCATTCACATTGTCAACCTTGGATCTAAACTCCAGTGAAAGAGGAGGTAGACTAGATGCTGACTAGTTTGCATTATAGAAATTGCATTATGTACAGCTTACCTTGGTGCTCCTCGTGTGGATTCAGAAGTGCTCATAGATTCAAAGTGTAACTGATACTGACTGGACTGATTATGTTTCTGTATTTTCACAGTGGGCTGATGGAAATGAAAGCACAAACCAGTGTGGGACCAAGACTCCTCTCCTTGTAAAGAGCAAAGCTAAAAAACTCAGTTCTGAAGCAAAGACAGAGAGTGAGCATCCTATCTGACTTGCATGCCCATGCAGGTGCATTCTGACTTAGTGGAGCCTCTCTCTGAACACACTCAAAGGATACCCAGAACCATCTCTTTTGTGGAAGTCAATGCAAATCCCTCCTTCACCCCAGGGGTCCCCAGCAGTTTGTCCCCTTGCAGCCTTGCTGTGTAAAGTGCATATTGCACTCCTGATGCCAGACCTGGAACCCTGCACATTACCTTTGTGACAGGCACTCCTCCAGCCAGAGGAGCCCAGGTCTCTGGGGCACCAGCTCTGTGTTCATCATTTCACTGCAATATAGCTCCTACCTTGATAAAATCACTTCGATGTGCATCAATATACTGGAAGATCTCCATTTCCAGCAATGAAGATGATGAGGAGGACATTACTGCCTTCGAGAGCAGCACAGGGCTGAAATGGATGCTACCTGGAAGATAAGGATAAAATTCAACATTACAGACATCCTGCAGTATACATTTCTTTTCAGCACTAGAAAGCAGAGACACAAAGTGCTGAGCTTATTTAAGTCTCATTTAATCTCCTCAAGACAGGAGAAAGAGTAAAACTTCATATTGATTCATAGTCATATATAGACATAAAAACTTCAATTGAATCACAGTCAAGTTGCTGAAAGAAAAAATTGAAAAAATGACCAAAGAGTGAACATCTTTAGTTTCAGCTTTGTAAATAACTTAGGGGTAACATTTTCTAAAGAAACATTTGTTGCATCAGTTTTACAGTACACAAGCATCAAATTGTAAGTTCTGGGAAGACAACCTTGGCAATTAAGGGGCAAGACTTGCAAATACCAACAACCCAGAGGACTCATCTTTTTTTTCATTTCCAGAATCATAGAATATCCTGAAATGGAAGGGATCCACACAGATCATTGAGTCCGACTCCGGAATTTGCACAGGACAGCCCCAAGATCACACCATGTGCCTGAGAGCACTGTCCAAACGCTCCTCAAACTCTGCCAGGCTGCTGCTGTGACCACTTCCCCAGGGAGCCTCTTCCAGTGTCCAGCCACCCTCTGGGTGAAGAACCTTTTCCTGATATCCAGCCTAAACCTCCCCTGACACAACTTCAGGCCATTCCCTCGGGTCCTGTCCCTGGTCACCAGAGAGAAGAGATCAGTGCCTGCTGTTCCTCTTCAGCTGGGGGAAGGGGAAGTTGTAACTGCAATGAGGTTTCCCCTCAGTCTCCTCCAGGCTGAACAGAACAAGTTACCTCAGGTGCTCCTCACATGGCCTCAAAGCCCTTCACTATCTTCATAATCCTACTTTGGATGCTCTCCAATGGTTTCATGTCTTTCTTATACTGTGGTACCCAAAACTGCACACAGCACTTGAGGTGAGGCCACTCCAGTGCAAAAGAGAGTGAAACAATCCTCTCCCTTGCCCAGCTGATGATGCTGCAGCCCAGGACATGATTTTCCCTCCGGACTGCCAAAAGAAGGCAGAAGAATTGATTGACTGACACATATTCCATATTTTATGTGAATAAGGGAAAACAAGCCTGATGCTGGAGAGTATTAGAAAACAAATAGCTTTTGTGGTTGGTTAAGAACAGTGACAATACTGAAACACTTGATAAGTGCAGAAGTCATTTAGTACCTGCAAACCTCTCTGCCATCTTTTTCTTTTTTACAAGATTTTAAAATGTGTTTTTCTTATTCCTCCAGTTTTCCTTTCATGTTTGCTTGAAGCTGTTGCTGTAGTGTCTTGAATTGGTATTAGCAGAGCAATTGTTGGATGGCTAAATACTTGGTCTGGCAAAATTCAGAACAGCTGCTGTATCAGGCTGTGATAGGATGGACTCCAAGGCCAAAACCAATGCTTTTCTAAATATATTCTATAATAATAACAAAAGGTACGGTTGCAGGTCCATCCATAACTCCTTAACTTTGTTGCATTGCTAAGGTGATAGGCTATGGTAATATTAATAATTTCAATTATGTTTCTCTGACAGAGAAGGAAGATTGAAAACCCAAGCATGATGAACAAGATGAGGGAAATGTTCACTTTGGCTGGAGATCCTGGCTGTATGAAGGATGGGCTCCATTTTCCAACCTTCCCTCAGAAGCAAGGTTACAAGGCTTACCTCACTTTCTGAAGTGAAGCTTTGAGAAGGCCTCTGACAGCAGATATATTTCCCAGTGTTCAGTTCCTGACATCTCTTGACACTGGAAACACTGGTATTGAAAGAGACCAAATGCTGAATTTGCAGGAGAGTGAAGCTGCAAAGCACTGTTTTGGAGAAGACTTGTTAACCAAGCCAAGAAAATCCAAATTTGGAGGTGGTTTTTAGGACAGAGAGATTAAATTTAGCGGTATCATTTAAACATAGAAATATTTTTAAAATACTAAACCCCAACCTTTAGTGATGGTCAAAGTATCATTTTCTTCTTGTATTGTTTTCTCCATAAAACAGTAAACCCTCCCTCCGAGATATGGCTCTAATCAACAATCCCCTTCAAATATTTTCATCACCAGTCACAGCAGCAACAATTCGTTCTAAAGCAAAAGTGATTATTCAGGAATTTTAGAAGCAAGCATGGAAAAAATCTGGGCACTTTAGGCGAGACAAAGTAGTTTGTGGGATTTAGTAACAAAGACGTGGTTGAGAATGAAGTTTTGATAATTTAGGTTACAGTCACCCTTGGATTGAGATTCTGCAGGTAAGGCTCAAGAACAGGAATTCTGCAACAAGCACCCTAAACTTAAACCCCGCAATCTGGCTATTTCTTCCATCCTTGGACTGTGCAAGTGGCTGCAAATATTTGTCAGCTGAAGCCCATTTTACAAAGAGCAGTAAGTAGTAGAAATGTGGACCACAGGCATGGTCAGGAGGGCTTCCCAGGCTGCACAGGGCAGAGGAGGGAAGAACACAAGCCCCAGACTGGGGTGGTGGTAACAGAACCCTGGTGAGTGGGACCCTGAGTTTCCTGGCAAAGACAAGACACTGGCACTTGCTGGGGCAATGCCTACCCAGGGTATATACAGGAGGGCATCTGAGCCAAGACTTTGCAGGTCACATTCAAAAGGGGTTCAAGGTACTTGAAGATGATCAGAGTTAGGTAAAAGCTGAGTGCACAGGCCATTCATGTTGTTTGCTTCTCTTTTTGTCACTGTGTGCTTTTGGGGGACCAGGCAATGGCTATGCTTGTGCAATGCTGTGCAGTCTCCAGTGTGTCCCAGGAGAGCAAAGTTTACCTTCAGGGTGGTCCTTTTGACTGATGTAGTGTATTTCACCTGGGAGGTGGGTCTTGCAGAGGGGAGCTGGCTCCCACATGAACTGAGGAGATGATGGGATCATGATGGGTGCATTTGTGAGGGGCTCTGGAAAAGTGCAAGGCACTGCACCTCCAGAAGAAAGTGACAGCAGCAGGAATGGTACAGAGAGCATTCATCTGAAGGTGGGATGAAACCTAGTTTTGCCACAGTCAAGAGATCCCAGGATTTCCATCAGCTGTTCATCTAGAGAGGCATCAGGACCATTATCTTCATTTGCCACAAAGCTGGGTGGATGCCTCAGTTTCACACATATTTCACTCATTTTTCTACCTCGTAATTTCCAAACCTCAGTCTGAAAACATTTACAACAGAGGCCACTGAATGCACCCTCCTTTAACCTTACTGTAGAAAACCTGACAGGCTTCTCAGGTTCACTTACATAAAAAAAATAGATCTTTTGGTTATGCCATGCTTGAACAAGGAAGATCATAACAGAGGTCAGAACATGGCTGCTAGAGGCACCAATTGCAATCATGCAGTGGATTTAAATATCAATATCTCCATCACATATGATTTCCCCTCCTTCTATTCAAATCTTTGATACTGCTGAATTCTATGCACTTTCACTCTAAAAAAATTAGTATATTTATATATATATCACCTTATGGTGACTTGAATAAATACGTACCTTTTAATGTCAGAAGCACAAAAGGGCTGCTTGATTTTACAGAGGATGTCTGCTGTGGTGCTGGTGTCTTTCTCTTTTTGACTCAGTTACGTGCAAATGACCTGGAAAAATGCAGACAAGAGACGTATGTCTTTGTCATGTTTCATTAGCATTTAACTGTTTAAGAAAATGAAACAAGGAAGCTAAAATGCTGTGAAGGAAAAAAATCCCAACCAGCCAAGCAAAATATCCTAGGGAAATTAGGAAATATTCTGTGATATTTTCAAAACAGATCAAACTTCAAGAAAAGATCATAGAATATCACAAAAATACTTTTGTTCATAAACAAAAGTAAGGAACAGAGGCAAAGTTTGGAAAATGAATGTGAAGAGATACCAAGCAGCAGAGCGCACAAAATATTAATAATTCAAACAAGAAATTAGGTAACAGCTATATTTTGCTGTAGTAGAAGGAGGGAGGGAGGTTGAGTAGCTGGTGGAACTTCATGTTAATGCACTACTCATACACAAAGTGCTGCTCAGGAGCGTTTGGATTGCAACTGGAACAACTCATGTCAAAAAGGGAGCCGGTTTAATAAAGCTGTAGAAAGATTTCAGGCAAAGCTGAAATATCTCGGTGTCATGAGGAGGGGAAAAATGATTTGAAAGAATGATAGTTGGGGGGGATATCAAACAAAGACTTCAGTGTTCAATGTCAAGTGTATTTTATTTGATGTCATTTTAAGGAGCAGTTGCTGCTCTATAAAAAAATGTAGTATGCCTATTTTTAGAAATAATACATGACAGTCAGTTGTGCACTTTCTCTTCTTTTGTTCCTTAGTAGTAAGAACATTTTTTGTCTCGCTTCCTCCCATGTCGTTAAGCACTGTTAAAAGAAAACTTAGTGTTCTTCTGTGGTGATTTAACAAGAAATCCAAGTTGATTCTCTGATAAAATATCAACTAAACTAACAAATATTTAAGAAGTACCTCCTTAACGTGCTTTGAAGGCATCCTTGTCTCTCCTGAAGCATGTGCTTCATGTGCTTCCCTCCCTGCCACACAGCGTTTCAAGTGGGTGCAGGGAGGAGGGTGCCAACGAAAACTGAACATTGGGTTGCAAACACCCCAGAGAAAAACTAGACTGACTAGAAAAACTAGTCCTGAGTCAGGACTCATCTGGTTTGCAAATAACATAAAGTACATTTGACACAAAAGGAAATAAAGATGTTTATGGCAGTAGGAACTAATTTAGTAAATCAATGGTGGACTCCACTGAAAGGAACATTCCCTCTAAGCAATCACCGTCAAGGAAGTTAAAAAATACCCCCATTATCTCAGTTAACTTCCTTTAACAATACTCGTTGATAATTGGCATACCATTGGTGGAAGCAGGCAATCAAGCCACAGTCACCTCTCCAGCTGAGTGAGGTCCTTGGAGAAGGAGGACAGCTCTTCATGTGGCAGTTCTCAAGCCCAGCCCTG